AAGCTACGTCTTTGACTTACAAAAAATCGTTATACATTCTCTGTAAACTAAATGCGTAACATGTTGCAATGATTTGGAGCAATAGTGCATAAGGTTTGAAAAAGAAAACAATACAACCTTCAATTACCTATTTACTATCTATCATAAATGACGCTTTGAGAGAGGAAAAAGAAATTATCATCAGTCGGACTGAAGCTATCTTTGTAAAATACGCACGTTCTCCTGAAGGATAATATTGACTATTTTGAGGCCACCAATAAAGTCTGGTAAAAAAAAACGAAATGATAATAATAACAGAGTTATTTTTCCCTCTTAATACGAATAACGACGATAACATTAGGTTAGAGGTGCTTTCCGTTAAAGATTTTTATTAATGTTTCATGTAACCTGGACAAACTTAACAAGGAACCTGATGTTCAGTGGTTGTCGTTTGTTGGTGTGGTTCATAAGTGTTTCTAGTTTCTCGTTTTTTATATAGACGAGACCGTTGGTTTTCCTGTTTGAATTGTTTTGCACAAGTCATTTTGGGGGCATTTATAGGTTGCTGTTCGGTGTGAGCCAAGGCTCCGTGTTGAAGGCCGTACTTTGACCTATAATTTTTTACTTTAACACATTGTGACTTGGATGGAGAATTGTCTCATTGGCACTCATACCACATCTTCTTATTTCTATTAACAGACGTTATTTCCAATGTTATATGAACAATGTGTGTGCTTGCATGTACTTAAATGTCAGACTATGGTAATTTTCGAAAACATGTATCATACAAACAATAGTCTGAAGTACTCTACAAATTGATATGTATGGTAAAAGTTTTAAATTGAGTACGAAGCTAAATTTTACCAAATATATCTTTAGAATATCACCGTTATAAGCATCTAACACATTTTTCAAAACATAATGAAAGTAGGACATTATCAACAGACAATCTAACAAAATTATAGGTGGTTATCAAAGTAATTTTTATAAGTTCGATTATTGAGACACATTACTTTTATCACCTGTTACCCTAGTTAATGGTGCTCATTTGTAATTAAAGATTTGAAATGCTTCCACAAAAAAATAGTATCAGATCAACTTCTACCTTTTTATTAGGAAAGATACGATACGTAAATGCATGTAGTTCCAACCTTTAATATAATTTAAATTGTCATTATCGTACATTCTTTCATTTATTTGAACATTATGACCACGAATGGTTCAAGATGTAATTTTCTAGCTCATGCATAGCTCCTAGCTTATATATGGCATGGTATTGGTTGCAAAAATTTGATTTAAATGCAATATTTTTTATTCAATTGGTATATTTCTTCATTTGAATGCAATATTTGTTTATTTGAATGGTATATTTTTTTCATTTAAATGCAATATTTTTTATTCAAATGGTATAATATGTCATTCAAATGCAATGTTTTTTATTCAATTGGAATATTTCTTCATTTAAATGCAATATTTTTTATTTAAATGGTATAATTTGTCATTCAAATGCAATATTTTTTTATTCAATTGGTATAGTAGTTTTTTTTATTTATATGCAATAATTGCATTAAGGTCAAATTTGCAACAACGTTTCTGATTGGTCGGTAATTGTTTGGATTTCCCCCTTTCTTTCTAAACATGAGTGACCAAGAATTAAAAAACGCGTCAGAATATCGCCCCTCTAACTATTATTTCTATTGCAAAATTTCGATGGTCAAAACGTTCGGACCACCACTTTTCAAAAACTTGCATTGTATATGGATCTATATGCAAGTATATCGTTTTTTAACTAGATTAGACACCGTTAATTTTCCCGTTTGAATGGTTTACACTAGTCATTTTTTGGGAGCCCTTTATAGCTTGCTGTTCGGTGTGAGCCAAGGCTCCGTGTTGAAGACCGTACTTTGACCTATAATGGTTTACATTTACAAATTATGACTTGGAAGGAAAGTTGTCTCATTGGCACTCATACCACATCTTCTTATATCTATATACAACATAAACCAGACGTTTCTCATACTGTTTTCTTTTTTAATAAATCATTTGCCGCGCGCTGTGTACTGATTGATACTTCAGTCTGGGAGAACAAGATTTATTCCAGTACTAGTTGTAGTTAGCTTTGAGCAAACTTCCAGTAATTGTAAATACTCTTTATGTCGGTGCGTTGTGTCTATTGTCTTAATGTTAGTTTTTTTTGTGTATCTCATACCGATCTTTTGAGTTAATCTAATTGCAACTGATTAGTGCAGGTTGTTCTTTTATTGTACTGTTACACCACTGTCCCAGCTTCGGGATGGGTTGAGTGCCGCTCACAAACTTGTTTTGTACTGTTACACCACTGTCCCAGGTTAGGGGAGGATTGAGATCCCGCTAACATGTTTGACCCCGCCACATTCTGTATGTATGCATGTGCTTGTCCCAAGTCAGGAGCCTGTAATTCGGTGGTTGCCTTTTGTTGCTGCGTTATATAGATATAAGAAGATGTGGTATGAGTGCCAATGAGACAACTCTCCATCCAAGTAAAAATTTATAAAAGTAAACCATTATAGGTCACAGTACGGTCTTCAACACGAAGCCTTGGCTCACACCGAACAGTAAGCTATAAAGGGCCCATAAAAATTACTAGTGTAAAACCATTCAAACAGGAAAACCAACGGTCTAATCTATATAAAAAACGAGAAACGAGAAACACTTATGAACCACATCAACAAACGACAACTACTGAACATCAGATTCCTGACTTAGGACAGGTGCAAACAAATGCAGCGGGTTTAAACGTTTTAATGGTACCAAACCTTCACCCTTTTTCTGAAACAGTAGTGTAACATCACAACATAGAAAGACACACTATAAAATATCAACTGAAATAGCTTAACTCAATCAAAGGACATATAAACACCATTAAACATACACATATTTGTGTTTCGTTCATTTTTTTGTACATTAATTCGGCCGTTAGTTTTCTCGTTTGAATTGTTTTACATTTGTGATTTCGGGGCCTGTTATATAGCTGACTATGTGGTAGGCTTTGCTTATTGTCGAAGGCCGTACGGAGACTTATAGCTGTTGATTTCTGTTTAATTTTGTCTCTTGTGGAGAGTTGTCTCATTTGCAATCATACGATACCACATCTTCGTTTTTATATCAACCCTGCACTATTCTTTATTTGCCTGTCCCAGGTCAGCCTGTAGTTTAGTGGTTGTCGTTGGTTCATGTCGCGACCCGTAATTGATATTTTGCAAATTGTTTTGCTATGTATAATTAGGCCGTTAGTTTTTTTCGTTTGAAATGTTCACACTTTTCATGTCGGACCTTTTATAGACGACTTTACAGTATCAGGTTTTTGTCATTGTTGAAGGCCTTACGATTGTGTATAATTGCTAACACCCACTTCATATTTGAACTCCGGTGGATAGTTGTCTTATTAGCAATCATATCCCATCTCTTCGTTTTTATATTATATACCTGACTTCTAAACTCGTGTTTTCCTGAACAAGCATGAAATATTTGTCACTGGGCGTTAACAATTAGCAACAAAACAATCAATCAATTTAAACTTGTGTTAAGTACTGTTCCAGCTAAGAGTCAGGCAGAGCATGGTACATTGATATCACAAAATTGCATCTTAAGTTCTCTTTTTATAACACCTTACCCATATTATTATTTTTCATTGTTCAAATCTTTTTAATTTTTCACCGTTTCCATGGTAACGCAAGATAAGGTAATACCGCTTGAAAGGTCATTGAAAACATAAAAATTCACTAATTTGACTATATTTTTAATGCAAAATTATCAAATCCAGTTAAGAAATGGCAAAAACAACTAAAGTATATGTTAAAAAGTTACATTTAAGAATGCATTTCTATACATGAACATCTCCTATCTTACTTTCTATGTTAACACTAATGTTTTCTGTTGAACATATAATCAGAGAAAGCGAAATTGTCCAAAAAGGCAGTTTTTTGACATTTTTGAACAATGGTTTCAAGAAAAAACACATTCACAGGAACATTTCATTTATTAATATCAAAAACAATGCTGTTTTTGAATATTTTGATGAAAAAAAAAAATCGTGTTTTTTTATTTTTTACCGGAAAAAAGTTTATCAAAATAACTTCAAATTTCACGGCACAACAAATAACCATTTTGACCCTTGAAATTGACAATTAAAAAAAATATTTACTTAAATAAACTGAATCAAAACATTTGTCAATCAAATACTTCAGTTATCAATTCTGTTAATTGTTTTCAACTTTTGATGACCTTGACCTTAATATAATGACCTTTAACAAATTGCATTACTACTAGAATTTCAGAAAAAATGGGATCATCGGAACCCTTTTTTGCTATTTTACAATACAATGCTTCATACAATGAAGACCAGCAAAATAACATGAACTTGGTTAGAATTATTAGTTAATGGCAACATAAACAATCAGTTGTCTACATGGGTGTGAGTATTTAAAAGATTAAAAACTAGAGGCCCACAGCCTAAATAGCTCAACAGGAGGGAAAGAATTTCAAAAATCACTTTTTAAAAAATTCACATTTCATATGCCATAATTCAAAAGATAGTCAGATTGTTATGATATCTTGAGGGTGTGTAGTTTTCATCCTTCTAATTTATTTAATCTAACTACACCTTGCATCAAGCTACTATATATATATATATATCTAAAGCTTTAGAGGAAAAGTAAAATTGGAGATAAAATGCTCCACTGGGCGCAGCTTGATACGACTGCAGAGGTCGAACCCCGAACAGTAGGGGCAAGTATGGACACAATATTCACGCTTGATACAGCACTGAATTTGGATTGTGATTAAATATTTTACACAGCATAGGTTTCTGACACAGAATGAATGTGGTCTAAGAGCTTAAAAAATTTTAATTTACCTATTCAAACCATATCATTATTATTTGCTTTTATATATAAATCAGAAATAACCAAATTTAAAATGGAAAATTTTAAACAAAAAAAAAGGAATAAAAAATCCCCCCCCCCCCCCAATTTTTTGAACCCCCTTATGATTCATCACCCCCAAACTCAATCCCAGCCTTCCCTTTGTGGTATGGTACCTTGCAGTACAATTTCAGAGAGATCCATACACTTGAACACAAGTTATTGTCTGGAAACTAGAAAAATGCTTGTTTTTTGGCCCCTAATTCCTTAACGTTAAGGGCAATTACCCACAAACTCAAACCCAGCTTTCCCTTTGTGATATGGAACCTTGTAGTACAATGTCAGATAGATCCAAATACTAATACACAAGTTATGTCTGGAAGTTACAAAAATGCTTATTTTTGGAACCTTTTTGGACCCTAATTCCTTAACTGTTGGTACCATAACCCCCAAAATCAATCCCAACCTTCCTTTTGTGGTATTTAACCTTATGGTAAAATTTCATAGAGATCCATTCACTTAAACTAAAGTTACGAGTGCGAAAACCAATGTCTTCGGAACGTCATACCAATATACGACAGACAAAATTTTTTTGCGGTCATATAAAAATCACAAAACATTGACATTTCGAAACTGAATATTTGTTGAATTTCAGATATTAATGAAAGGTGACCATCTTTGATGTTTAGTCCTAAAAGATTCTGAGACAAAGACAGTTGAAGATCTTGAAATATGCTACAATGTAAAACAAAGACCTAAGTCTGCAATGTGACTGTATTGGACTTCCTATCAATGCAAAACAAGAATGTGTCCAATAGTTCACATATGCCCACTCACACTATTTTTTTCTATGTTCAGTGGACCGTGAAATTGGGGTCAAAATATAATTTGGCATTTAAATTAGAAAGATCATATCATAGGAAACATGTGTACTAAGTTTCAAGTTGATTGGACTTCAACTTCATCAAAAACTACCTCGACCAAAAACTTTAACCTGAAGTGGGACAGACGGACGGACGAATGAAAGCACATACCAGAAAACATAACGCCCCTCTGCTATCACAGGTGGGGCATAAAAACATGAATTTTATAGATGACCTTTCAATAAACTTTCTTACAAAACTTTATGTTCAGACGACTGAGGTACGAACAATGAAAGCCAAATGATTGATATCCCTCACATTGAAATTTTGTCACAGTGAAATAAAATGTCTTCAAGATTTAGTTACAAACAGACAAACAGAGTGATTGACTATAAATGTAAGTTTTCATGGATTTCTTGATTCTCTAATTCATTCAGCACGGCCAATAAATCACTGTCACCAGCATCTAAATCACAGCTGTCTATACACATTATTGTCTTCCCTGCATTCATAGCAAGTCTTGAAAAAAATGATGCAATTTGGCTAGGTTGTAACCATTCATTGGGGGAAAACTTTCGTCTTCCATTTTCTGACATGTTACGCATGTTCATAGCAACAGCTGCTGGATTTTCTTTCTTGCCACTAGCCTCTCCAATCTTAAATAGTTCTGTAAGATATGATTTCACATTCTGTGAAAATCTGACATACTTTTTCTCTTTCTTTAATGCCCAACCCATTGCAGGTATATTCAAATTGTTGCTGCTAGAGGTTCCAGTATCAGATTCAATAGTGACATGAGTAGAAGCATGAAGATTTTCACATTTTTCAGCCCATATCTTTTTAGCTCTGTCATAAGTTGAGTCATTTAATAGTTGTTTCGAGTGTTTTCCAATGAGAATGTGATCTTGCATTTTTTCAAATGACTGGTATGCCTTGGTGCAACCATACTCTGGGCAATAGAATACGTTGTCAACATTATTGCCTTCATGGTCTTGTAATGGAGAGTCTAATTCTTCTAAGACTGTAGTACAATTTGATGATTCAGGAATTTGTTGTTCTATGACTATTGATTGGTTTGATGATGAGGAACTTTGTTCATTTGCAAAGGCAGTTTGGTTGGATGATACATGTTGTTCATGAATTTCTGCTGATGTTCCTTGTTTTAGATTGATATGCCCTGATGACTCATGATCTTGAAAGTCATCACTGATGATCTGTAAACAAGTAGCTGGTTGTTCATCGCGAAACATTTGCTTTACCTTGTTGTTCTCGATAAAGCAACCATCTCCTATTCTGTATGCTTTCCATGTTTTTATTCCAGAACTTGTGTACTCTACATTTGTGATAAAGCTTACACCTTTCCAAGAATGTGTTTTAAGCTGATGCTTTGTTGTATCAACATCAACAACTGATGTATAAACTCCTTTAACTCCAGCTCCACTATCAATCGCTTCTTTCATCTGCATAGCTGTAGTGATGTTATGGCCTTCTGCAGAGAAAATTCTCATTTTTTGTCTCATATGGGCAATTTTAGCATCACAGTAGCTTTTGCCACTCTGGGCCTCACTATAATCATAACGTTTGATTTGTATCCCTAAAAGAATAAATAATGCTTTTGTTTTTTTCATATTTATAAAGATACAACCTACAAACATTGATGAGAGTAAACATATATATTGAAATAATTCTTATATGATTTGCATATTAAGGAATAAGATAATATGATTGGTCGAGAGGGCTTCTGGTAGTGTCTTTTGACCTTATTTTTTTTTTTAGATAGATGACCCTGACAAACTTACTTTTTGTAACAAGTGTGAACAAGATCTTGGTGATACTAACACAAACTGGCTTGAAGTTAAAATATTTATTTTTACCTCTCATTCATCTTTAAATGTTAGTGAATTGGTCCAGCAAATACACCAATTTTAAAATTCCTTTAAAAAGTATATTATCCTACAGTGCATTTCACTTGTTCCTTAATTTATCTTTATGTTGGAGATGGATTAAAATTTATAAATGTGGAGCAGGATATACATGTATGCCTTCCCTTCAAGAAAATCCCAGAAATTGCTCATTCTTGAATAAGCATTTGACAATGTTTGATACAAGTTTTATAAAAATCTAGCAATTATGGTATATGTGGGAGCCCTTACAAAGCAATTTATGTCATTAACATTTCCAAGGGGCATAACTCACTGTTATTTCTATGCCCTCCCCCTCTTATTATGTTGGGCATGGTACCAAAACAAAATCCTAAAAAACTCCATATTTGTATTTCGGTGAAAGTGATATAATGTTACCTGTTCTTTCTGACAAACTTGGTATTGCTAGCCACAGCTGACCACAATGGTAACAACCAGCATTGTCAGATCTAAGGTATGCCTCTGTGATTTGTGGTAACTGTTTCTTAATAGAAGATAGTGTGTGCTCCAACAGGGATAAAACAGCGAAGAAGTCCTGCTTCACATGGTCCATTATATGAGTAAAGGTCTTGTGCTAAAATAAAAATCAGTTCTTATTGTATACTGTCAAAGTATGGATGGTGTTTAATATGACTTTCTACAAATAAATAAAACTAGAACACACCCGTGAAATAGCTGTCATTTAGACCGTGGTTAAAAGTATGTAAAACTTCTGTAGGCTGACATTACAATTTTTTTCTTTCATCCTCCTTTTTCCAAAATCTGTAATTTTTTGTTTTCTATTATTCAATTCTTCTGTTACTATGAACATACATATACTATAAATAAAGTGTATTTCCTATTTACTATCATTTCAAAGTTTACTTTCCACTGTGTCACCAACAGTAAATAGCAAATACACTCTATTTATAGAATATGTGTGTTTATAGCTTACATACAAAGCGAAAAAATTGTCCTGTTCCCAAGTATCTATCAAAACTATTTGTTGTTTTCACAGTCCTAAATATAACGGAAGTCTTGTCTATGACTTAAAAATCTGTCCAATGACGGAAACAATATCTGGACGCCTTATTTTCATTTTTCTCTCAAAATATCCGAAACTGAATAATCATACAGTAAAAGAGAATGACAAATGCGACTGTGCATGGTACCGTTAGGACACGGATGGTTGATAATTAATTTATTGTGGAAAGAAGAGAAGCAACACACAAAATAGGATTATCATTTAAATAATATTACTAGTACTCTTACCTTTAAACTGTTGTCTTCATCTTTAATAATGGCAACACACACATGCCAGTGCATCCCTTTTTGACCAAAGAAATCTTTCATTCTTTCCCTAAACATCTGTGGAAGGTATTTCATTGCCCAATCCATGATAATAATTACTTCATTGCCTTGTATGCTGTTCAGAAGATCAAACCTGGCATCATCTTGGTTGATTGTTCTCAAGATGTGAGATCTCCAGTCCTCAATCTGCCTTGTTGATATTTCCAGGTCTTGGAGGAAAGCTTCTTGATCCTCTGGACAGCTGGATAAAATGGCCAACCGAACTTCTTCAACAATATCTCCAAGCAGCAGACATCTGTCGCAAGCCTTTTGATGCAAATGTTTACATCCAATACTAAGGGCACCAACTTTTGGATCACTTAATGAATACTGCAGGCAATGGAAGGCACATTCATCTTCTCTTTTTATGTGCAGTTTGTAATCTGTTTTTAAGTACAGTCTGCTATTTAAAAGTTTGCTCTTAACTTTACTCTTCCAGTCCTCTGTTTTGTTCAGCTTGGAAATTAAGGACAAAATGTTGTCAAATGCTGTGGTGCCATCTACAGCAATGTTGTCTAAACCCTTAAGGCACTTCCTTTTGGATGCTTCACATGCATTCAAAACTTGATACAGTGTTGAGTCACTTAGAGGATTGAAATCATTGTCGGCACAGTAGAGTTTATACAGTTTAATTAAGTTTGAATGGATGACTGTTCTAACAACATCTGGGATAACAAGAATATCTCCCGAGTCTAATTTTAGGTCATGGGTAGTGTAAGATGATATTTGGTTGAAAGATGGGTCACTGAAGAATTCTACAGCATGCTGTAACATGGCATAGTTTATTCTCTGCCTATGTTGTTGTGTCTTTGAAGATTGTATACATGAGCCAGGACCATTAACAAATGCATGTTTTCTTGCTTTATCTATTTGATATTTTGTGATCTCAGGAATCCATGTCAACAAATCAGTTTTTGAAAACTGGTTCACAACAAGAGACAAAAGTTGACACTTTACATCTGCATCCTTTATATTTGTGCACATCTGGGAAACAACATGAAGAAGGTCATCATCACCTTTCATTACTGGAACCTGATCAGAAATTCTCCTTAGTTTAGTTCCTTGTTTAGGTGCAATAGCATTATATAGAGCTTCAGCTGTTTCCTCTGCCTTTCTTTTGTAGTATCGGATGGTTCTGTCTTTTGCTTCATCTATATTTGTGTTCAGCTTTGATCTAAGTGGACTGATACAACCTTGACCTAGAACATAAATAGCCTTGTTGATATCAGCAATTTGGATTTCTTTAAGAGGCAATGCTTCGTCCCCTTGGCTCCAACTTGAATCTTGACTGCTGCACACTGTACTAACTTGCCCCTCGCTGTCTTGTGAATATGTGTATAAATTCTATAAAAAGAAAATCATGCAGGTAACAATTGCCATTCAAGAAGAACTAAACAATATCATATGTAAGGATGTTCAACAATTTCTTAATATACATGGTTAGAATTCAGCATATCAAATTAAAGACTAACATTAATTATATTTTTGATGTCAGAAATCAAACAAAGTTTATCTTATAATAAAAAAAAGTTTAATTTTGGACCCTTTTGACCTCAATGTTGACTTATTTGACAACAGGGCCCAAAATCCAAACACAGTTAGATTCAGCATATCAAAGAACCCCAATAATTAAATTTTTGTTGAAATCAAACAAAGTTTAATTTTGGCCCCCAATTTGGACCAACTTGAAAACTGGGCCCATAATCAAAAATTTAAATACATGTTTAGATTCAGCATATCAAACATATTGTCAAAGAACCCAAAGAATTAAATTTTCGTTAAAATCAAACTAAGTTTAATTTTGTACCCTTTGGATCTAAATGAAGACCAATTTGAAAACGGGACCAAAAATTAATAAATCTAAATACACGAATAGATTTGTCATATCAAAGAACTCCAATAATTCAATTTTTGTTGATATCACACAAAGTTTAATTTTGGACCCAAATTTGGACCAACTTGAAAACTCGGCCCATAATCAAAAATCTAAACGCATGTATAGATTCAGCATATCAAAGACCCCCAAGAAATCAAGAATATTTTTTGTTAAAATCAAACTAAGTTTAATTTTGGACCCTTTGGACCTTAATGTATCCCAGTTTGAAAACAGGACCAAATATTAAAAATCTAAATACACGGATAGATTCGGCATATCAAAGAACGCTAATAATTCAATTTTTAATGAAATCAAACAAAGTTTAATTTTGGACCCTTTGGATCTCAATGTGGACCAATTTAAAAACGGGGCCCAAAATCCAAAAACGTTATACATGGTTAGATTCAGCATATTGAAGAACCCCAAAAATTCAAGAATAAAACCCCATTGAAATTGGTCAAGAAATAAACAATTTATACAAATATTATTTTTGGCCTCTAATTCCTAAACAGAAAGGGCCATAACCCCCAAAATGGATCCCAACCTTCCTTTTTTGGTATGGAACCTTATGGTACAAATTCAGAAAAATCCATACATTTACACACAAGTTATTGTCTGGAAACTAGAATAAACTGCTTCGCTGAGCGCAGCTGGATACGCCCGCAGAGGTGCAACCCTGAACAGTTGGGGCAAAAATGGACAGTGATCGGGAAGGACGTGCGCCTTGCGCCTATTGCGCTTATCGACCAGAAATGGCGCATAGATTGACAAATGTAAGCGCCCGCGTGGCGCATGATATTTTTCACTTCTTTTTGAAACGTTGAGATATCGTAAAATGGATTTCCGATCGTATTTCGTGCCGCCATTTGTGCATGAGTACACAACTGTGTAGTGTTTACTCCAATGATAGGAGCACCTATATATTTTTGGGACGTCTCGGGTGTTTTCCTATGGTAATAATAGCAACATGCGGTATGACTGATTACCCAAAAAACATAATTAACCATCATTCATGAAATAATTTTTTATAAACAACTTTAAATTTGTGAAAATTAGCTAGTACAGGCGAGAATTCTTCTCTAATTATAATCTTTTAAGTAAGCTTGCTATTATTTCGATTGAAAAACCCAAAAGCCTTTTTATGAATATCATAGTATTTGTCTCCATAAAAGGGGCTTAGCTGTCCTTGTCATTTCTTTTGGTCTTTGGCTCGTTTTGACATTTTGTAAACATGCCTTCAGCGAATTGTTGTTGTGTCTTATCAATTAACGTTGCTCTCTACTGTTATTCTTGTCATCGTGATGAAGTAATAATAATACAAGTGCAGAGGAAATGCCAGAAACTTCCTCTAATACTGGAATAAGTATGGTATCGACGAAGACCCAAATTTAATGTAAAAAAAACCCATGAACATCAACAACATGAACAAGGGAACAGTACCAGTTTTAACATTGTAAATAAAGGTTATCGTAAATATTGCCCGGTTTGGAAGAAGTTATTGTATATTCATTGAAATTGAAATTACAAAATCACAGGAACAATATCCATGATATTAGTTAGAATCATACTTGTAAGTACAGTGAAATATACACTTTTTTTATTTTTTGTTTTTATTGTAAACGAATGGCCCATTAATTCTAAAAATGGCCCATTGAATTTATTTTTGGGGGGCCCTGGGCCCATAGAGAAAAAATCCTTCCAGATCACTGAATGGACACAATATTCAAGCTTGATACAGGTCTGAATTTGGATTGTAATTAGATATTTGACAGATTATAGGTTTCTGAATAAATGTAGTCGAAGAACTTGAAATTGGTTATATGAATTGAATTTATATTTAATTAAAGATTTCTTGCTGTTGTGCAAAACATTGTGCCGTTGCGCAATGCTAAGTAAATCTGTTGTCAGACTATAAACAAATAAAATCTTATAACTCGGAAACCTAAATTCGAAAATTTATAAAAATCAAAAGGGAGCTTACAAAAATAGATATAAACACAATTTACCAAAGTTTCATAACTTTTGAGTTATTGTCCGAAAACTGGAAAATCCCCATTTTTGTCGAGCCTGCGACTTTTGTCGCAGAAAGCTCGACATAGGGATAGTGAATTAGTGATCCGGCGGCGGCGTTAGCTAACTTCTTATTTAAAAGCTTTATATTTTAGAAGCTAGAAGACCTGGATGCTTCATACTTTGTATATAGATGCCTTATGTTACGAAGTTTCCGTCTGTCATATGTCCATTGTCCTTTTTTCCTCATTTTCATGGTTCAGTGACTACTTGAAAAAAAAGTCAACATTTTTTGTAATGTTAATTTCTTTCTTGTTATGAGTAATAGGATAACTATATTTAATATGTGCGTACCTTGCAAGGTCCTCATGCCCGTCAGACAATTTTCATTTGACCTCGACCTCATTTCATGGATCAGTGAACAAGGTTAAGTTTTCGTGGTCAAGTGCATATATCAGATACTATAAGCAGTAGGTCTACTATATTTGGAATATGGAATGATTGTAAGGTGTACATGTCCAACTGGTAGGTGTCATCTGACCTTGACCTCATTTTCATGGTTCAGTGGTCAAAGTGAAGTTTTTGAGTTTTTTTGTATTTTTTCTAATACTATATGCAATAGGTCAACTATATTTGGTGTATGGAAATATTTTATGATGTACATGTCAGTCTCGCAGGTTTTATTTGACCTTTACCTCATTTTCACGGTTCATTTCTCAGTGTTAAGTTTTTGTGTTTTGGTCTGTTTTTCATCAACTATAAGCAATAGATCAACTATATTTGTTGTATGGAAGGATTGTAAGGTGTATATGTCTGTCTGGCAGGTATCATCTGACCTTGACCTCATTTTCACTGTTCATTGGTCAATGTTAAGTTTTCATGGTTAAGTTTGTTTCTTAGATACTATAAGCAATAGGTCAACTATATTTAATGCATACATTGATTGTAAGGTGTACATGTCTGTCTGGCATGGTTCATCTGACCTTGACCTCATTTCCATGGTTCATTGGTCAATGTTAAGTTTTCTTGGTTAAGACTGTTTCTTAGAAACAATAAGCAATAGGTCAACTATGTTTGGTTTATTGAATGATTGTAAGGTGTACATGTATTTCTCGTTTGGTTTATCTGACCTTGACATCATTTTCTTGGATCATGTTAAGTCTATGTGTTACTTGTAGTAAAGCTTTATATTTAGGACTATCAACATAAAATCAATGGTTAGTAAAGAAGGCAAGACATTTCAGCGTGTGCACTCTTGTTGTAATGAATAAAACCCCATAAATCGGAAACGTATAGTCTAAAAATTATTATAAAAATCAAAAGGGAGTTCATGTCGATAGAAATAAACAATATTAATTCGTCAAAGTTTCTTGCAAATTGGTTAAATTGTTTTTGAGTTATTGTCCGAAAACTGGAAAATCCCCCCTTTTTTAATGAATAAAACCCCAAAACTCAGAAACGGTAAATCCGAAATTTACAAAAAAACAAAAGGGAGCTCACGTCAATAAATATAAACAATTCAAAATAGTTTCATGCAAATTGGTGAAATTGTTTTTGAGTTATTGTCCGAAAAACTGGAAAATCCCCCCTTTTTTAATGAATAAAACTAGGGATGTCAACTTGATAAAGATTTACTAATCGGGTACTCGTTGGATTTACAGAGCGATACTCGAGTACTCGCTCGGAAAAACATCTACAAAATGGAAACACAAAATTATACCTATTTTATGTATTGTTTGTCGTTTTCTTATGAACTTAAAACCCTCAACATTATTACCTAGGACTAGATAATTGTTCCAGGAATTTTATACCATAATTAAAAGCTCATTTACTACTTGTACCAATTAAGTAAATTTGTAATAATCTAATCAATTAATTAATCATGTTAAAACACGTCTTTAGAAAAATGATTACTCAAACAACAGTATTTGGGAATCGTAAAAAAACACATTTAATGGTCAGCAAAGGGGTAATGATTAGAACTTATTGATGCCTTTAATCATTTTCTGAGGGTCGACACAGGGTGCAACGAATTTGTTCTTATTTAGAAATATTATCTTGTCAGCTGTTTCTGGGACAAGGTGATTTCTCAACTTTGTTACGTATTTAACATTCCTGCTGATGAAAATATTTGCTCTGACGGTACAGAGGTGGGGGAGGGGGAATGACTATAAGATTAGCTAAAAGTGTAAGACTTGGAAAGGTGGTCTTGTTCCAAGCCTACCTCTGTTCGGAGGAATTTAAAATGACAATTAAACCCACACATTCGAGACATATTTTAATATTGATCAATATTTAATTTCCTATGAGGCGCTCTCAATAACAATATTTTTGTTTAAGCTTAAGAAAGCAACAACATTCTAACAGGAAACTGATTAGTTGAGTATCGTTTTGGTATTCCATACTCGGTACTAACAAGCAATACTCGTTGACATCCCTAAATAAAACCCCAAAACTCGGAAAAGCTCACGTCAATAGATATAAAACATTCACAAAAGTTTCATGCAAATTGGTGAAATTGTTTTTGAATTAATGTCCGACATGTTGACGACGGACGGACGGACAACAGTATACCATAATACCTCCCGTAAACGGGCGTATAGAAATGCTTATTTGGACCCCTTTTTAGGCCCTAAATTCCTAAACAGTTGGGAACATAACCCCCGAAATCAATCCCATTAATTTCATAGAGATCCATTCACTTTAACTAAAGTTATTGTCCGGAAACTAAGTGTCTTCTGACAAAACTTGATTTTACTGTCGCAAATATCCGTTTACCTAGCTCCGCTACGCGTCGCTAGGTAAACTCAATTTGCGACAGTAAAATCTACGTTTTACGAAGGCCAAGCTTAAAATACAATACAGTTATCTCCTAACTTTAAAATACAAACAGGACACAGATGAAGTGACTCTCATTATTTTACATTTGTACTTTTTAATGTTGTAAGATGTTTGTCAAAGCTTATGCTGCATGTACATGTATTTATTATAGAATCGTGATAACCATAGTTTCACAATAAAAGTTGTGTTTGGTCATGTTGGTGCTGCCCTACATGACAGGTACCATACATGGAACAAGTAATGCTGACTAGTCAGGAGCATCTGGTCTTACTTTTTGTTTTATATGAGAGGTCATATTGTTATAGAGCTTTTTGTTTTAAATAATTGAAATACTGTAAATTCAGAAATTATTGCGATGTTTTTATTATTGCGAAAAATGCGACAGGGTTATAAACGCAATAATTTAAACTCGCATTTTGAAATTTTGTATATGAATTAAACAGGATTTTTCTCAAAATCGCAAAAATTAAAATCGTATTTTAATCTAAAATGACAAAATCGCAATAATAAATGCACGCAATAATTTCTGAATTTACAGTAGTACATGTATTTTTTTTATCTTGTGTTCAACTGTTGAATGCTGCTTCTCATGTGGGTTCTTTCTGTTTGTCTTGGACCAAATAACACATCGTTTGTAAGAGAGAAGATGGTTTTTTTTAAATTTAAGCCAGAATTATTTCAAGATATACAGATAAATAAGTGCATTCATTTTCTAATGTTATATGTCTGATAATATTAATTTCTCTGAATATGAAGTTATCTGGATGGATACAATTCTTCTGCAAGAAGTTTTCAACCTTTTTTATTTGGTTATATTGTTCCTAAATGTGTTATGATTACAGTGACTAACTTACCTTATCAAAGGTAGATGAATTTGTCTTTCTCGTGCGAAGTGTATAGTTACAATGCTCATCTTCATCATCTGTTGTAACCACTAATTTTGACTACAATATAGAGAAAGCAAGTTTGTTGACTTAAATTTGATTTTTGTAACAACAATATATTTCTCTTATACAAATCTACTCCTACATGTCCTAAAAAACAAGAGTGCAACTTCTAAAATTTCTCCCCTGTTTAATCCCTTACATATACTAAAAAACTAAAACTTAACATTGGAAAACGAACAAAAAAATGAGGTCACAATCAGATAGACTGATAAGCACACTGAAGGAATAACAGTACTGTAGTTGAAGAGTTGCCACCGTCAATTGTTGATTTGACTGTCGCAAATGCAGTTTTACTGGCGACGCTTGATACATGTCTGAATTTGGATTGTGATTAAATATTTTACACATAATAGGCTTCTGACACAGAATAACTGTAATCAAAGAACTTAGAATTGGTTATATGATTTGATTTATATTTATATATTCAATTTTTTTGCTTTTGTGCAATACACTATGCTGTTGCGAATTGAACCCCCCCCCTCTTTTTTTTTGCTTTTAAGCAATACACTATGCTGTTGCGTATTGACCCCCCTCCTCTTCAAAAAAAATAAATTTGTTACCCCCTCCCCCTCCCCCTTTATTTTGCCAACAAGAAAAAATATTGGAAGAAATTTTATTTGTTAATTTCTGAAATCTGAATTGAGAAAAAAAATTGCCCCCTCCCCTCTTCCAAAAAAAAATCTTTCCCTCATGATATGTTTTTTTTCAATTTATGAGTTTGAATATTCCTTTTGCATATATCTTTCACAAACCTTTTATAACTGCATACACATGTAACATCATTTGGCTCTTATCTAATTGTAGAAATTATCTACCCTGTTTCCCCTCACCCACCTGCTTACTACTTCACCATACTGAACAATATATGTATGTGTGCCACCCTAAATTATACTTACAAATTTAGTAACATTAGGTTTGTCTTCATTTGGATCATCAATCTCTATATCCATGCCATTGCCATTGATATCCTACATAAAAAAATACAATGCTTATCATTGATGGTATTTAATTTTTGATTGATACAATTTAAGTGAAGACAATAAATCATATGAAATAAATGTGGATAGTGTCCACATGTGGACACAGATGATGCCCCCGCTTGCATATCATATAGTTATAAAGGGACATAACTGAAGAACAGTAAAAGTGACGCTACCCAAATTTGAACTTGATCTGAGTTTTGTGTGTAAGTCTCATAACATTTGGTTGAGGCTAACTTAAGTAGAGAACAGAAACTAAAAATTCAGCAATTTTTCTATTTATAAAGGGGCATAACTCAATAATGGTTAAAGTGACACTACCCAAATTCAACTTGATCTGTGTTTTATCAGTGGAAGTCAAAATTAAACATTGCATTGTATAAAGCATTGATTGTAGTTGATTCAACTATAATCATGGACAAAGGAAGATAACTCCAATTTAAATAAAATGCTCCGCAGGGCGCAGCTTGATACGACCGCAGAGGTCGAACCCTGAACAGTTGGGGCAAGTATGGACACAACATTCAAGCTTGATACAGCTCTGAATTTGGATTGTGATTAAATATTTGACACAGCATAGGTTTCTGACACAGAATGAATGTGGTCTAAGAACTTAAAAATTTTTAATTGGACATTCACCTATTATGGTCCAATATCCAAAATCTAAATACATGGTTAGATTCAGCATTTCAAAGAACCCCAAGAATTCAATTTTTGATGAAATCAAACAAAGTTTAATTTTGGACCCTTTTGACCTCAATGTGGACAAAGTTGATAATGGGGCCCAAAAATCAAAAATCTAAATACATGGTTATATTCAGCATATCAAAGAATCCCATATATTCAATTTTTGTTGAAATCAAACAAAGTTTAATTTTGGACCCCGATTTGGACCAACTTGAAAACTTGGCCCATAATCAAAAATCTAAATACATGTTTAGATTCAGCATATCAAAGAACCCCAATAATTCAATTTTTGATGAAATCAAACAAAGTTTAATTTTGGACCCTTTGGACCTCAATGTGGACCAATTTAAAAATGAGGCCCAAAATCCAAAAACTTAATACACGGTTAGAATCAGCATATTAAAGAACCCCAAGAATTCAAGAATAAAACCCCATTGAAATTGGTCAAGAAATAAGCAATTTATACGAAGTATCTTCTTTTGCACAATACTGTGCAATTGAATATTTCTTGCTATTGCGCAATACTGTACAATTGACCATTTCTTGCTATTGCGCAATATTGTGCTATTGGATATTTTTTGCTATTGCACAATACTGTGCAATTGAAGATTTCTTGCTATTGCGCAATACTGTGCAATTGAAGATTTCTTGCTATTGTGCAATACTGTGCAATTGAAAATTTCTTGCTATTGCACAATACTTATTATATAATAATTGACACATCCTGTTTGGTGTGTATCTCCTACCATATCATTATTATTTGCTTTTAAATATAAAACAGAAATAACCAACTTAAAATGGAACATTTTAAAAGAAAAAAAAAGGAAAAAAAAAAAATTCCCCCCCCCAAATTTTTTGAACCCCCTTATGATTCATCACCCCCAAACTCAATCCCAGCCTTCCCTTTGTGGTATGGTACCTTGCAGTACAATTTCAGAGAGATCCATATACTTGAACACAAGTTATTGTCTGGAAACTAGAAAAATGCTTATTTTTGGCCCCTTTTTGGCCCCTTATTCCTAAACGTTTTGGGCAATTACCCCCAAACTCAATTCCAGCTTTCCCTTTGTGATATGGAACCTTGTAGTTCAATTTCAGAAAGATCCATACACTTACACACAAGTTATTATCATGAAACTAGAAAAATGCTTGTTTTTTGCCCCTTTTTTGGCCCCTAATTCCTAATATTTTGAGGCAATTACCCCCAAAATCAATCCCAGCATTCCCTGTATGATATGGAACCTTGTGGTACAATTTCAGAGAGATCCATACACTTGAACACAAGTTATTGTCTGGAAACTAGAAAAATGCTTATTTTTGGCCCCTTTTTGGCCCCTTATTCCTAAACGTTTTGGGCAATTACCTCCAAACTCAATTCCAGCTTTCCCTTTGTGATATGGAACCTTGTAGTACAATTTCAGAAAGATCCATACATGCACTTACACACAAGTTATTGTCATGAAACTAGAAAATGCTTGTTTTTTGCCCCTTTTTTGGCCCCTAATTCCTAATATTTTGAGGCAATTACCCCCTAAATCAATCCCAGCATTCCCTGTGTGATATGGAACCTTGTGGTACAATGTCAGAGAGATCCATACACTAACACACAAGTTATGTCTGGAAGTTACAAAAATGCTTATTTTTGGCCCCTTTTTGGCCCCTAATTCCTTAACTGTTGGTACAATAACCCCCAAAATCAATCCCAACCTTCCTTTTGTGGTATTGAACCTTATGGTAAAATTTCATAGAGATCCATTTACATTGTACTTAAACTAAAGTTAGAGTGCGAAAACCAATGTGTCTTCGGACGACGCCGGACGACGACGCCAACGTCATACCAATATACGACCGCAAAAATTTTTTGCGGTCGTATAAAAATAATAACTTGATATTTAGAAGAAAATAAAAATTTTGCAATTTTTTCCATTTATAAAGGGGCATAACTCTAGAACGGTTAAAGTGACGCCACCAAAATTCAAACTTGATCTGTGTTTTGTTGTAATAAGCATTGTGTATAAGTTTCATAACATTTGGTTGAGGCAAACTTAAGTAAGGGAACAGAAACTAAAAATTTAGCAATTTTTCCATTTATAAAGGGGCATAACTCTAGAACGGTTAAAGTGACGCCACCAAAATTCAAACTTGATCTGTGTTTTGTGATAATAAGCATTGTACATAAGTTTCATAACATTTGGTTGAGGCAAACTTAAGTTAGAGGACGGAAACTAAAAATTTTGCAATTTTTCCATTTATTAAGGGACATAACTCTACAGCGGTTAAAGTGACGCCACCAAAATTCAAACTTGATCTGTGTTTTTGTGGTAATAAGCCTTGTGTATAAGTTTCATAACATTTGGTTGAGGCAAACTTAAGTAAGAGGACGGAAACTAAAAATTTTGCAATTTTTCCATTTATAAAGGGGCATAACTCTAGAACGGTTAAAGTGACGCCACCAAAATTCAAACTTGATCTGTGTTTTGTGGTAATAAACCTTGTGTATAAGTTTCATAACATTTGGTTGAGGCAAACTTAAGTTAGAGAACGGAAACTAAAAATTTCGCAATTTTTCCATTTATAAAGGGGCATAACTCTAGAACGGTTAAAGTGATGCCACCAAAATTCAATCTTGATCTGTGTTTTGTGGTAATAAGCATTGTGTATAAGTTTCATAACATTTGGTTGAGGCAAACTCAAGTTAGAGAATGGAAACCAATTTTGGGACGTACAGACGGACAAGGGTAAAACTTAATGCCCCCACCGCTACGGCGGGGGCATAAAAAGGCAATCAATTCTTACTAACATTTAATATTATGGCATATATTTTACGGCTAATTTCAAGATGCAGATGTTGGTATTCTATCATGTCTATTGTATACTTTGTCATAAACAATATGCCGGCATACATCTGCGTCTTTATATTGTATTTCATATACATACATGTACATACAAAAACTAATGAGATATGGTATACAGGTACATGTAATTGTTAATAAGACAAATATCAAACAAAGTTTAAATGAATTGGATAAAAACAATTACAGGCAACTGTACGGCCTTCAACCAAACCCATATCATACATGTATAGTCTGTTATGAAATTAAAGGCCCTGACATAAAAATTATGAAACTATTCAATTGAGAAGACTAACTACCTAGTTTATCATGTTTGTATATAGGTAGCAAAAAAAAAATGACAGACCTGAAGCTACTTATATATGTAATTTTCTGATTGAGAGTTTTTGTCATTATAAACATCTTTTTTTTTTTAATTCTCCCTCCCATGAATCAATAAATCCAAACCTTCCTTTTGTGGTATTGAACCTTCTTAAAAGATTTCATAGAGATCCATTCACTTAAACTAAAGTTATTGTCCGGAAACCAATATGTCTTCGGACGACAACGCAGACATCATACCATTATACGATCCCAAAATTTTTTTTGCGGTCGTATAAAAATAAATGATAAATTCAATGCAATTTTAATGGTGGTTCCTTTAGCAATTTATTTACATACATGTACATTTGTGTACACCAGAATTATCATCCACCTCACATGAAGTGTAGAAAAAGAATCATAATCCTCGGGTAGTGGAGATATCGTATAAGAAAACCCAAACCGTTTGCAGTTATACCTACATGTTGTTTTCTATTGGTATATGTAATAAAACTATGTTACCTTTTTTTCTGTACATGACATATATGCTTTCAAGTATTCTCCATTACATTTTCTGCATATTCCTTGAAAGAAAAAGAAAAAAGAATGCATAAAATTCATATAAAGAATATATATATGTCATAATGTCATAGTGGATTATATACATGTACAATGTATACAGCTTATAATAATAATAATATAATAATAAATACTTTATTTAAAAAATCATGTAAATTTGTACTGTCTAAGTAAATTTAAATTATTTTATTGGTGTAAAATCCAAAAACCAAGACATTTGCAAGAGAAGCATAAACAATATTTACAAACATATAAAACTTAAATTTATTAGAAACATTCATTTTATATAAGTATATATTTAGATATTTTGGATATTTAGAGGAGGTGATACATTTTGAACTTTTGAAAATTTGAAAGTAAATGATAAACTTCATCATGTTTATGCATAAACTTTTACAAGTATCAATCAAAAGTGAAAACATTAACTTGCTATGTCCCCCTTTCAAAATACTTGATCCTCACCTATAAAAAAAAACTGTGGTTATATAATTTAAAACTTATTTTTTGGGGGTTCAGGTTTGTGGTGGAAAAAGGGGGGAGGGTATCTGTATCTGTATTGGTATGTGTAGAATCCTGTTATGGGCTTATGGCTTTTATACACAGTGGAGAAGAGCCCCATTGTTATGGGTGTTCTTGTAGGGCGGTCTTAAATGCCTCTACAGAACCTGCATGCACAACTTTATCATATATCAACTTGACATGGCAGATTTCAAAAATAAAGTTCATGTAGGGGCATATGTTAATACAAAAAAAATGAGAATGGTTAGGTACATGTAGGGGTAATTTGTCAATACAAAAATGTGCACTTTGTTTTAAAATACACATATATCATGTATATTATCAGTTACTTAGGGAGAAGTGTCCTTGAAAATGTAAACATACTGAACCTGTTTAAAGATTTTAATCGTTTGTTACCAAACAAACTCAATGTATCAGTTATGAACAAACATGTATATATTTGACAATATAATTAATGAATTGGAATACATACATAATAAAGTACATTTTTTTGAACATTGTACTTACCAGAGCCAATGGGCACAAGTACACCAAAGTCGGCTAACATTCGTCTGCTCATGGCCGTTGTAAAGCTCCGATAAGGCTTGGCCTTTCCCTCATGAATTGGATATTGGCACAATGCCTTTTGTCTCCAGTTTATTCCAAGGAAATCTCTATGATAAGGGGACGACCATTTGATATTCTGGGGGGGGCCAGGAGGATTTTGAAAATAAATAACTCAGCCTTGATAATCACAAAAATAAATGGTTTGTTCTGTGGTAGTTTGAAAATAAATAACCTGACTTGCAATGTATTAAAAATAAATAACTCGGCAGGTCTATTTAAGAGCATGAGATTGCACCAGATTCTTCATAAAATTCAACTTTTTTTTTCAAAAAAAATCGGGAATCACTTCCCAAATCTTTGAATAATAAAAGTATAAATATTATTTAAAATACTTGAAATGTCTGAAAAATGGGTTTCATTTAACTTGAGGTTTATTGTCTCAGGAACACTTAACTCACTTTTATTACATATGGCAGTAACTACATTCAGGCAAATGCCTCATGTAGGAAATTTCAAAACCAAAAGCTTGTCTTCATATCAAATTGTTTTCACATCAAGTGTCTTGCAAGAAGCAAGTTCTGTTCTCCCTCAGACGTAGATCCTGTTTTTTGGGGATCAATGTTTCTTATTTATTTGTCTTTTGTTCATTGATTGCCCTTCTGTATTCTGTTAGTGTTGCATTCCTTTTGTAATTTAGTAATTTTGTTATTAACTTGATCAAGAGTTTAAAAAAAAAACAGCAGCCACATACTTAACTATGTGAATTAAATCTTTGCTTTATCTTTGTCTTTTGATGTTGTTCCTAAAAACTTAAGTCTTACACTGAATCTATACATGTTGCTTTGAGACCAAAATATTGTCAAAAAATGATTAAAACAGAACTTTCATTTTCAGATTAAGAAAGGGTATGGGAAACACATTTTGCATCATTAGTTCTATAGCAACTTGGGGGCTTCAGCGGCTCCAAAACCCTTCAAATTTTTTTAGCCTCGCTCCGCTCGGCATAAATGATTTGCAGCCAAACTTTGATATCTTGTATGTATGCAATACATGTATATGCAGTTGGGAATTCAGAAGATTCATTTCTACAGATGATGATGATTAATTCTGATTAAATGGTACATAATGATTGGACTATTCATGTATTATTTATAATAAAAAATAAATTTTAAAATTGTATGTTTTCAAATATTATAAATATAGTTGTGAAAATAAATAATCAGTCCCTTGCTTTAATGAAAATAAAAATCTTGCTTCAACAGTGCAGAAAATAGATAATCTGTCCTCTTAGTTTACAAAAATAAATAACCGATCAAAAACAAATCCTCCTGCCCCCCCCCCAGAATATCAAATGGTCGTCCCCTAAGGACAAACACTGAAGTCACTCTCAACGGTGAACAAACCCACTCTTTTTGAAATAAGTTCCCCCTCGTATGTGACGTCTGCTACTCCTGTTACACCTGCATTCAATCCAACTTTCAACAAATGAGCTTGGATATTCCTCTGGCAGTCCTTTAATCTTGATAAAGTTGTATGTGAAGGGTGCAGTGATGATATTCCACACTGTGTTGAGGCAAAAAATCCAATTGAGCAGGAGCCCATGGGGGCTGCCATTGTTGAAATCTATTGCATTGTGGGTAATGGGAGATAACTCTAACATATATTTTAGCATTGTTCAGTCTTTTTGTAAGGACAATATGTGTATTAATGAGACAAAAACACACAGAAACAATTATTGTTATAATAAAATATGACATTTTATTTTCTTAATTTGTAAAGATATAAAGGTTTCCCATTTGTTTTTTCAAGTATTTCTTCAATGAAAAATATATATTTCAGTACTTTTATAGTACATTATTAAAGGCATGAGGGCACAATCTGACATGCTAAAATAGACAAATTATAATATATATCACTTTTTTAACTATGTCAGCTGAAAGTAGTTGAGAAAAACTGTTTATATACAAATAATGCATCAGATTGACCAAATTCATGTTCCAAACATTATTTGGTATCTGCCTGATTCTTAGGCGGACTACTACTAAAATAAGAGGAAAACCATTTGATATTTATTTATTTGTTGGGGTGGGGGACTGAAGGATTTCATATATATGAGTATGGTTGCCTTGTAAGAGCAGAAAAAAAGGCACGATTAGCGACAGATTAAAATGAATAATAATGCCCTCTCTTCCCTTCCCCATCCTTTATCTATAAATTTAAACTGACCACTACGGAATAGCCCAATAGTGTTGAAAGTAGCGTTAAACACCAATCAATCAAAATCCCTTACCTAGAATATCAAATAATCTGTTATTGTCCGTGTAGTTCTTATATTTATCCAGCTTATCGTCCTACAGGGATGTCTTACTAAGGCTTTCATACCATAAAACGTTTATAACATAGGTCACATTCTAATATATCTGAATTCATAAATTTATTAATGTTATTTAGACTAAACGACGCCATGTTTGTTATGTGCCTCTGTCGTCTAAACAACCTATCAAAAAAGAAGAGGTGGAAGAGAGCCAGAAGATCTTCCCAATGCAAAAAAAAAAAAAAAAAAAAACAGAAATGGACTTCTTCTGGCTCACTACCGAAGAACAAAAAAAAAACGCGCCCCATTAATATGTTTTAAAAACGCCTTGCCCCTATACCTTTTTTTTCCCAAAAATTGACATTGTTAAATATATATACATATATATGATCATCATTAAAATGCTATTGTATTTTTATAAGACCTACTTTATTACATGATCTGGGACTAATGACATCTATCTAAGTCCAAGCATACAGTAAGTTATTATAATATGAATATGTTTCTTGTTTTAATAACCACATTTGATGTTATAAATGAGTCACTATTTATCAGGACAGGAATTGGGTTTACATAGAGAGAATAATGAGCAAAAAATGGATATGGGGTGGGGCCAAACCTATAGATAACATAATAAAGAAATGATGAAATATAAAGAATACGTCGATTGTTTTTTGGTTGCCAAATGTCCAGTAACAAATATTTCACGCATGTTTAGCACAAATATAATAGAGATCAAAGGATAAAGAATAGAGTGAAATGGTAAAAACTAAAAGATATAGAGTTATAGAAACTATCTTTAATCTGAATCCCCTCCCCTCACACACACACACACATTTACCATTACTGCAAATATCGCATATATACATCTCTATACAAATTAAATAAAAAATATTGCATTTAAATGAAAAATATCAAATTTTTGCAACCAATACCATGCCATACTTATAATATTTCAACTTTTTTTCCAGACACCTAGTGCTGTTACGTGATTGGTATATGTCGTAGAATTGTTTCTCATAAATCTGAAAAAAGCCCAATAAAACTTTTTTTATAGTTATATCTTTTCAAATCAAAAATAAAAAAAAAATCGTATCAGCTTCTTCTATTTTATCTTAATGCAATATGCAAGGACTTGCATTGCATATCATTAAATTCGACAGGAACATGACAACCTAGCCATCGTTTCACAAAAAATCGTACGACAATCTTAGATCTTACGCCGGTCGTACGTCAAATCGTAATTCTAATGCAATTATTTCGTATCAATGGTTCTGATACACCTTATCGCTATTTGTCCGCCATTACTGGACATCACAAAAGTTCCCGTATAATTTTGACGTCATAATAGAAAATATATGACGCCACAATGGAAAAGTGATTGTTGTATGACGTCAGAAGTTCAAGCGGGACAGATTCTCGGGTCAAGCGGTCAGATTTCCAAATAGCGATAAGGTGTATAAACGTATTTACACTTTTGGTATTTAGCTATATTTTGCCTCCGAATGACCTTAGATCTACTCCGAATTACCTTTTGACGTCAGACAACAATCACTTTTTAATTGTGACGTCAAATGTTTTGAATTATGATGTCAAAGTTTACGGGACATGTGTGATTTTACGTAATGGCGGACAAATTTGCATACAAGTGTAAATACGTCTATTGGATGACAGTACGCGTAAAATTCTCTATCTCCTTGTCTGTAACTAAGGAAGCCGACATTTTGAATTGCGGAATGTATTGACTTGTAATTTTTACAATTATAAACAAAAAAACTCACATGTTGCACCTAGAAATCTTCTTTCTATCAAATTTAATTACATTCTGAAGCGGTCAAGAAGCCAGAAAACGCCCGGTGTTTACGTTTGACGCCGGAAGCATACCTATGACGTCACCTAGTTTAGGGGCGAAAGAAGATAACATCTTTTCGCGGAATTTTCTTTAATGAGAATTTTACACTGAAATAATGATAGAAGTTGAATGATGTACTTGTTTTGTATTAGACTAGATATAACTGTATTGTATTTGAAGCTTTGCGGACGTCCGTCGGTAGTTTTACTGTCGCAAATACCCGTTTACCTGTCTCCGCTACGCGTCGCCAGGTAAACTAAATTTGCGACAGTAAAACTACCGATGGACGTCCGCAAAGCTTCAAATACAAAATAGTTATCTCTTAAGTTTTTGAACGTTTCATAAACACTCGTAATTAAAATTTGATCTTAAACTTACGAGTGTTAACTGGCAGTCGTAAGTCAAATCGTAGTAGTTTAACCTGTTGAAATTTTGTAAAAATCAACAACATTACATTATCTTACATAAAATTAAGTTCCATTGGGTGAACATAATACATGTATCCATGTCATTAGTCCACAAAAGACTCCTGATGTGCATTGCGTTATATTGATTGATTGGTGTTTAACGCTGATGTTTAACGCCACTTTTATTACTCTGTGGTTTATAGTGGAGAATCCAAGTCAATTAAGGTCAGAAGAGTACGGCGAATGCACCTGCCACGAGCGGGTTCAAACTCACAACCTCATTGTTAACAGGCTAGTGATCGCTGTAGTTGAACTACTTACACAATTCGTCCACCGAGGCCCCTACTACATTACAAAATTCCCTTGAATACTAGGTATTTATCTATAGTTTTGTTTGTTGATAGTATTGAGATTTTTTTCTATCATTGACATTTTCCATCCAGTTTAGTATATTTACCACATGTATCTACTAGTATCTGTAAATTTCCAAAACTCTCACAATTAAAATATAAGAACAATTGCCAAAAAGTATACACTAA